CCTAACATTCTTGTTAAGGTAGTCGAGAGTTATGGCCGGATCGGTGACCACTAAAAATAGTGGCCTATGTTTCGTTGTCATTTTAAAAATCTCTTTGGGTTTTATTTCATAAGAGGCTATCAAATCCTCCTCTATGGCTTCTTTTTCTGTGCCATTTGCTAATCCCCTGAGTACAAAGGCGTGTGTTTTTTCAGCTTTGTTTGTATATGTGTGATGTGGTATTTCTGCTTGTTTTATGCTTCCCAGTAGTGCTTCATAATCTTCGAGTTCCTCAGTGAATATAACTGTAGTTGCATTTGTATATTTCACTGAGTATTTACCTTTTATGATTGCTTTTAGGTTGTTTGTAAGGGTAGCATGATTGTCCGTCCTTCCATCTACCACTATTGGAGGGATGGTAGCTTTTTTGTTTATTTTTGTTGCCGTCACTATATTTTTTGTAGTTTGTTTGGATAAATTTCCCTTGATTGGGAGGTTTGGGGTGGCTTTTCCCTTAGTTTTTGGGGCAATGACGGTGTCTTGTTCGATTTCACTTTCACTTTCGCTGAGAGAGTAGAATTTATTAGTTAGTGGTATAGTAGATGTGGCTTTTCGTTCAATTAACTTTACGAAGTTTGTTTTGAACTTTTTGAATTTACGGGGTTTTTGAAACCCTTGGTTGTCTGAAAGATCAGTTTCGTCTTCCCCGTCATTTTCAGCAGTATCTTTTTCGGTTGGTGAGGTGTTTTTCCTCTTAGGTAATAACACTTGAGTGTTTAGGGGTGTGCTTGCCTTAATAGGTGGAGGTAGTGTAAAAAGACCCGGCCTTAGGGGTTGTGGTGGTGGTGGTGGCTTATTTATGTTCTCCTCTTCACTGGAGGTGGTGGTATTTTTGTCAGTTCTGAAATTGAGTACGCGTGCCGTTACCGAACTTGGCAGTGGTAGCGTTTGATACGCGGACACGAAGGTGTCAGGGGTGGTTTCACTAATATTATTAGTAACTACCGCACTTTCGCGATTTTCACTGGTTTTTATGTTGTTAACTTGGTTTTGTGATGCCGCCCTATCGGTGGTGTTGCTCGCACTTTCAGGGTTAATTTCACTGGTGTTTAATGGCGAATTTTCCGCACTTTGGTATAGTAGGGTGTTTTCTAGACTGTTAGGTGAGTCGTCTGTGTCCATTTGATGGTCTTCCGGGGTAGATTTGCTTCCCTCTGAGGGTGGTATAAAAAAAGAATTTTTGTCCATAGTCGAAAAAGTTGTTGTATTTTTTTCGAAAAGGGGTGTTTTTAAGTTGGTAGTCTCTGGAGCCTGGTGCAAAACCTCGTCATAGGTGTTTTTTATGGCCGTATCTGTATCAGGGTGGCTACGGGAGCTGTTTCCGTGTTTTTCCTGGTTTTCTCTGCGTGCCTTTGATGACTGTTTCCGGGGATCTCTGGATTTCTCTGTTTTTGTTTCACAGACATCGACCGAAAGCCCTAAACACTTTTGATCGATGCCCGGGTTGGACTCAAGCAATTGACGCTCGTGATTCAAAATCGACCAATAGAAGTCAAACAAGAGTTAAAATATCTCGGTTTTCGACTGGATAAGACACTACTGTTTAATGCCCACATAAAAGACAGAGTGGCCAAAAATTCCGGTATTCTGAGGTTATTGTACCCCCTAATGAATAGACGGAGTCGGCTAACATTGTCGAACAAACTGCTACCATTTAAAACTATATTTAGGCCTATACTGACATATGGTTGTCCAGTATTCTGTTCAATGGCAAATTCACATTTCGCAATATTACAAAGGGCACAAAACAGATGTCTAAGGCTAGCTCTTGGCTACGACCGTTATGTTAGAATTCGCGACATACATACAACGACAAATATCCCATACATAAAAAACTTCGTCATCCAGACGGCCAAAAACTTCTATGCGCGATGCCTCCCTGATGAATTGAGGGATAGCATCATGAAATTTCACCAGGGGGACGGCGTGCGTAGAAAACACGGCTGCCTACACAAAAACCTAAACATCTACCGACGACAGTAACATGATCCATGACAAATCCTACAATACTAAATAATAATTCACACGGACTGGATAATTACGAATTCTAGTCCGACGGAGGACTGAACTATCGACTGACCGGCATTGCCGCGGCCGAGAGAGCGACTTTCGTTACTCGACGGCGGCAGTTCCGGGTGGTTTATAGCTCACCCTCTCTGTGAATTAAGACAAAAAACCGTAGACTTGGACAAGAACACACAACACAAATGACAACCCTGTTTTTTCCTACCTTTTTCAGGGGACAATACTAAACTAACACACGACAAACCTCCTATAACTTATAATTCCCGATCCAAAACCACCATAATCCCTCAATAATACCCATAGGGTAAGGAGTGAGGGCGGCTATAATTAGCATAACCAAAACAGATAAATATGGAACATATTACAGGCGGAGAAACCGCCTTAGGCCTTAATGGATACCATTCGGGCCACAGCTGTACTGTGTACAGTCTGTGTTTTTTGTGACGTTTTATGTTTACATATTGTACATATATTTTTTAAAAAATGAATAAAGATTTTAAATGAAATAAAATGATGCCCGGGTGGAAGTGCCATCGTTCACCAAGCCAGTGGATTGTGACAAAACCAAAGACTATACAAAGACCAACTTACATACAAGGACAACCCTGTTTTTTATTAACTTTTTCCAGAGGATAAAAACCACAACACAAATTTAAAAATACTTCTCAATTATCGATTCAAAACCATTTAAACCCCTTAATAATACCGTTACGGAAAAAAGTGAGGGCCGCTATATTCACAACACCAATTGCACATCGGTTCTAACAGGCAGATATGTCTGCCATGATCCTCGGGCCCGCATGAAACTATAGGTTTCGTGCCGAATTGTTCTAACCATTGTGTGAATATGTAGATATATTATCCTGTAAATAAAGAATTAAAAAAAAAAAAACAAACAAATCATCTAGGTAATACATTAAAGGGAACGTAAGCCTTGGAATAGAGCAACGTCCAAAGTGTGTTCAGATGCACTGAAAGTTGTCAGTGCATTCTCAACCTAAATTTGCTGTTAGGTGTCGTATGGATAACGCTCTTAAGTATTTTTTATAGTATTAATATCATCGTTATTATATTGTTTTTTGTATTTGATTGATGCAAATAAACATTAATATTATGTCGCTTCCATAAAATGTCTGCCTACCCGATTTCAATGTAAATAGAACAAAGCTGTTTCCTCTTGACTGTTTACTCTCTGTTAATAGGCCCGCATACTATAAAGCATTATCAGTAATTTTTTTATATACACGTATATTTGTGTGTTTCTAAGCTTTTATCACTGCACACATTAAGCAGCAGCTTGGTAGGGGTTAAAATAATCCTCATGGATAATGAAACAAAAAACTCATAACAAAGTAACAAAGGTTGCTATTTATCACTCTCTAAGGTCTAAACAAAATAACCGGACACACTATTCACGTTCTATACGAACAAAAACGAGTAATTTTTCGGCACCCCTGCGGGCACAAATTTTGTTTGGAGTTTTGGAGTTTCCTCGTGTTTGAAATCAGATTTGATTGTATTCTAGGAGATGATCCTAACAACACGGAAGGAAATTATTACTGGAATATGGGGTGTGACAGATCGTGTTTGTCAAAATTCACGACGGGAAAAGACGTGAGAAGGAAATTCGCGGTCGGCTTTTACCAACATTCGAGATTTTACTTGATTAATATAATATAGTTAACCGGTAGATACCTTTTAAAATTAAATTTTGACAGATATTGTAATTAATGAAAACGAAAACTAGTTCCTTATATTAATATCTTGTTTGATATTTTATTTTAATGTAGAGGATGTTTTAGGAAATTACAGTATTAGCGGAGTAAAACTTGGAAGTAAAGACGCTTAGTTTTTGAGAAAAAAAAAATCGGCGTAGAACCAAACCAGACTTAGTTCAATTCTTTAATAAGGTAATTGAGTACACTAAATCATTTTTGACGACATTTTTTGGTGGTCGAGAACTTTTTTATCTCGAGAAAACTTAAAAAAAATCGATTTTTTATAAAACATGTTTTTTTAACGTTCCACCGCTATATCTCGGAAAATAATTATGCTATCGAGGTATTTTTTTTACATAATAAAGTAGATACAACAGCGCTTTGAACAATACCCCACTTAAATCAAATAAAAAAATTGTTAATTTGTTAAAATAACAGCAAACTTGTTATTTTCAGTCGCGTAATTTTAAGCAATCGAGAAAAAAGTTTATTTCTAAAAATTTGTACATATATGCTGTGAACAAATTGAAGCTAATAGTCGAAAAAAGTTTTTAAAATAAAAACTTTTTATGTGTCCTTTATAGTATCGAGTCAGCGATTTTTCTTAAACGGGCCAAAATCATATTCTTGCGCGCTCGGCTCCAGCTTGAATTAGACTAAAAATGTAAGAATAAAGTAAGGTTTATCGTTAACATATTTATTATTTAGATGCTACATTAAAAGTACTCTAAATCGTCATCTTCTGGATCTACGTCGAAATCTTTAATACTATTATTGCAAGAACGACATTTACACTCGTTACATCATATTAGGTCTTTTTTAACACAAGTGCATTTTCGATTGTCACAGATGACTTTCAAAATCTCAATTTCTTTCAGCACTTAGCATTCTCCAAAGTAAAACAAAAATACCAATATTTAAATGTTTTTGATGAACCGCAACCCAAGTTTACAAATTCTGCTACAACTTTGTTGTGATCTTGAAGAAGGTAAGAAAGATCTTCTAAGTTACCTGCTTCGTCAATTTTTGATTTTGTTACTCTGTGTATTTCTTTTTTCAGCTCGTCATTAAAAAAAATTGTACTTTATTTTCTTCGTACCATTTATTTAGTGACTTGTAAAATAATCGAGACATTGCATCGGCTGTTAATATTAGGCTTCAGATAGCGCGATAGTACTGCTTTTCATCGAGCATTAGACGACAAGAATTTTCTGCTTAAATATCTGTTTCGACAAGAATCGAAGTTAGTCCACCATCAGCAAAAATATAACCTATACTTGCAATAAATGCCATTGCACCAAGATGCAAAGCCAGACAATGGGGCATGTTCAAAAATTTTGAAATTTTTTTTATGAATAATAGAGTTGAAAATAAAATTACATTTTTTTATTTTTTTTTTATCTATTCATTTGCCGGAGTTATGAATTTTTTTAAAATTTATGACGTCACCGGGAATAGACCAATAGGAGCTAGCGCACAACGTTGCCGGCTAGAAGGTTTACGAGAAGTGATGTACGTTCGTTTGTGTACTCCTTCTTACTTTTAGACTTCTAAAACATCGTTAAACAAATATCTTTTAAATATATAATATCAAATGTTTTTTAAAGTATTATTTCTGTTTAAACTTTTACCATATTTAAAGTTTCATTGTTTTAAAAGTCACTTAATAATTCAGAAAATGGCAAAATGGCAGCACTGTGTATGGCATCTGTCATCATAGTGTCTCCATCAAGAATTTATTTGGAATTTGATTGTTTAATTTTGTACTTTTTATAAATATTATGACTACGAAAAAGTGTTTTGTTCCAGAATGTGATAATGATTCACATTCATCTTCAAAAATATTTATTAGTGTTCCTAGAAATTTGGAAAGAAGAAAATCAACCTTCTACTAGCGATGTTTCTCGTGAACTTTTTAATAAAAATACACCGGATTATCAAGATGTAGCAGCAATTTCTGCTAATTGTCCCCTTCAGGAAATTGAAAATAAGGCTACTATAAATTCTTAGGTGTATAACCTAAAAACCCTTCTGGAAGAAAATGCAGAATCTCCTGAAAGTTTTGAAGATACCGAATTTATTCATCATTTTGTGGAAGAACTAGTGATAAAGAAATAATGGAAAAATGTGGGTATTTAAACAAACTGGTTCCTGGATCCCATATAATGGCAGATAGGGGTTTCAGAATAATCAGCTACTTGAAAACATGGGATACACTTTAGTAAAGCCACACCTAGTGTATCACAGAATGAAAAAACTTCTCCAGAAGATGTACAATTAAGTAAAAGAATAGCATCTCTAAGAATACATGTGGAAAGAGTTATAAGAAGGGTTAGTTAATTTAACATGTTAAAACCACATTCGTGTGTGAATTTTAAGCAAGTACATTTACTTAGTAATATCTGCATAATTGCTTGTTAACTTACAAGAACCTATTTTGTAAGA